TTGATACCAAACTAATTGCGGATCATTGCATGGAAATTAAGAAAGATATTACTCACATCTGATTTGTTTTTGAGTAAAAATATCTTAGAGACTCTAGTGCAATCATCGATAAAGGACACAAATCACCATGAACCAGAAACATTTGGGACTGTGGAGGGTCCCCATATATCACTGTGAGTTAAATAGGAAGGGGATGAACTTCTCTTATTGCTAATGGGAAAAGCTACACGAGTGTGTTTTGCGTACTCACAAATATCACAATGAAATGTCCCAATATTTAATCCCTTAAACAAAGAAGGAAACATGATTTTTAGAATTGCAAAAGAAGGATGTCCGAGACGAAAATGATGCAACCATATGATATCTTTATTGGAAGAAGAGAGAAACGAAGAGGATAAATTTGTCCTGATCATACTCGGAAGGCTCGGTGTCTCATGGTAGTAGAGTTCTTCCTTTTCCTTAGCATGTCCAATTCTCCTCCCCGAATCCTGGTCCTGAAATTCATAGTAAGAGGGATAAAACGTAACATGACAATGTAAGTCTCTGGTAAGCTTTTGAATGGACACAAGGTTAGCGGACAATTTAGGAACATGTAGAACATTTTTAAGAACAAGACTAGGGGTGATATGGATATCTCCTACACCAGCTACCGTGGTTGTGGTTCCATCAGCAACAGTGATTTTCCTATTGCTAGGACATTTGGTATAAGTGCTGAACTGGTTTGAGGCATGTGTCATGTGGTCTGTGGCTCCCAAGTCTATGATCCATGAATACACAAACAATTTATTAGAAACATTTAATCCAAGGGAGAATAAAGACTCACCTGAGAGGGCTAAAGAACAAGCACCAGAAGTTGGTTTCTCGAGGTTCCCAACAGGTTTCTTAACTTATCTATTTCTTCACCGTCGAATCCTCCATATTCTTTTGCCTGGTTCTGACCCACCTGTGAGGTCACATGGGCTTGTTTTTGTTGCCGTTGCTGCTTTCTTCCTTTGTTTCCCCATTCTCGGCTGGATGTGGGTGGTTTCCCGTGTAATTTCCAGTAACTATCCCTGGTATGTCGCGACTTTTTACAGTATGTACACCAGAGATTATCTCGGTTTGCCCCCTTTGATAATTCCGCCTTTCCATGTTCAGCATTTTGCGGTTGTTCTAGAGTGAAACCCCGCTTGTTGTCACCAGAGACTACGAGTGCTGAGTTGTCAATTGATTGAGGTTCAAGCATGATTCCTCTCCGACTCTCTTCAGCCCGAATCAATGAAATCACCTCATTAAGAGATGGTACCTCCTCCTTGCCCAAAATTTGAATTCTGACTTGATCAAATTCAGAGTTTAGGCCAGTGAGAAAATCATAAACTTGATCTTTTTCAATGAAATTTTTGATAATTATAGCGCATTCACTGCACTTCAAATCAATCACCCGGTAGTAATCCAGTTCTTGCCACTGGTTTTGCAGAAAATTGGCATACTCAATCATGGACTTGTTCCCCTGTTTTGTAGACGCTGTCTTTGTCTTGATCTTGTTTACTTGCGCTTGGTTTTGCAGAAAATTGGCATACTCAATCACGGACTTGTTCCCCTGTTTTGTAGAAACTGTCTTTGTCTTGATCTTGTATACTTGTGCCGCATCACGAACCTTGGAGTAAGTCTGGTTGAGAGCGTCCCAGATGGCCTTCGCAGTTGGTAGGAACATGCATGTATCGCAGACATAGTTATTAAAAGCCCAAGGCGCATCGAGGCGCTAGAGGCCCCTTGGAGCCTAGGCGCGAGGCGCACGGCGAGGCGCGAGGCGAGGCGCGAGCCTGAGTGATGTGAGGCGCACAAGTATAATTTTAAAACAATAATTCTTAACAAAAATAACACAATTAAACAATGAACATCCAATAATAAAAACACTAAATAGAATGGAGTCAATGGAGTGATGGACCAAGTTAAATTCAGCAAACAAACATTCAGCAAACAACATTCACACTTTCAGCAAACACCATTCAGAAAGATGCATTCAAAATTTAAATAATCTAGCATACAGCATGTAGCAAAATTCAGTAAATTGCATTCAAAAGAAGAAAAAACAGAACACAACAACACAAAAAAAAACAGAAGAGACAGGCAGCCTTCAAAGAAGAAAGGAGAAAAAAAATACAGCGAGAAAAAAAATACAACGAAGAAAAAAAATACAGGCCAGAGAGAAAAAATAAATAAATAAATAAATACAGCAAGAAAAAAAATATAAGCCAGAGAGAGAAATATATATATATATATAGACCCAGAAGAACAAAAACATAGATGGAGAATAAGATAGAAGGAAAAAAAAATAAAAGAGACCCATAAAAAGAAAGAGACCGAGAAAAACACAAAACTAGATATATAGAGAGGAGGAAGAAAAAAAGAGACCCAGAAGAACAGAAACAGAGACGGAGAAAAAGATAGAAGGAAAAAAAAAAAAAAAAAACAGAGACCCATAAGAACAAAAACAGAGACCGAGAAAAAGATAGAAGAAAAAAAAATAAGAGACCCAGAAAAAGAAAGAAGAAAACCAGAGATATAGAGGTGAAGAAGAAAAAAAGAGACCAAAAAAAAAAAAAAAGCGAGATATAGAGATTAGAGAATAAGCAAATGAAGAGGAAGAGAGAGAGAGAGAGAGAGAGAGAGAGAAGAGGAGGAGGAGGAAAAAAATTACTAAACTGACCTGGTAGGTTGATTCGGTGAATCCGGCTTCATCTTCGTCGGATGGAAGCAACTGATAGCCTTCTCTTCTCTTCTCTTCTTTCTTTCTTTCTCTTTCTTCTGTTTCCCACTCCCTCACGTCTTTATTTCTGCTGCAGCTTTTGCTATAGATTGATTTGTTTTGTTGACTATTGTGATACATTGGGTTGCCTCATAAGTCACAAGAGGACAAATTTCCATTTTGTACTTAAGTTTTTGTTTTGTATTTTCAGTTTCCAAAAACTGTAACTATATATATATATATAATAATAATATAAAGTAAAAAAGCAAACACATGGTACACGTAATACATAAAAGGAAACAGCCAAACAAATTATAAAAGGACCACAGAATATATGAAGCGCGCCGAAGCGCGCCTCTTAAGCCATCCAAGGTGCAGCCCAGGCGCGCGCCTAGTGAAGGTCGCTGCGCCTGGGCTAGCATGAGGCGCAAAAGCTGCGCCTGTAGGCGCCTTGCGCCTAGGTGCGCGCCCAGGCGCGCTTTTAATAACATTGATCGCAGATTTCGGGTGTTATGGAATTCCACAACCAGGACATGACCATTGAGTCCTCCTCGTCCCACGCTTCGAAACCTGCATCACCTTTCTTTGGTCTCGTTCCCAGCAAGTGACTTAATTTCTCTTTTCTTTTTAGAAAAGTTCGAACCAATTGAGACCATTTCAAGTAGTTTCTTCCATTAAGTAGGTACGCCGGTTGAATATTCTGCAGTTCACTTGTGGAGTGCTGAACCTGCTCTTCCTTGGGTGATTGGGAAGGTTGAACAGTAGTTTCTGACAATCTTCAATAATCGGCTATGAAGGCTGGACAAAAGGGTTATGCGAAAATTGGCAAAAGAAACTGCCAGAGAATGACTGCGATGAAGGCAAGTCATAGAGAAAATTGGCTATGAAGGCCTGAACAGAAAAGGAAAAAAAAAAAAAAAAACACCACACGGTTTTTTTTTTTTAGGAAATCCAAGCCTTACGGCTATGATATCATGTGGTGAAATGAATTCATTTATATTGAATCTGTTAATATTTTTACAAGAGCCTCTGTTGGGCTATATATAAGAAATTACAGAGAAAAAAATCAGCAACTACCTAAATTTTGAAAATCCTATAATCAGGAATCCCTGATTCTCTATCAATCAAATCCCTAAACTCTACGAAACAAATATTTACACAAATCCCTAAACTCTAGGAAACAAATATTTACACAATTCTAGTGCTAACCTTACCACTAATCAAGGAGACTAACTCGTATTTTTCCACAAACGACAATGTGTTGCAGTTGTCTGCGATTAGGGTTCGCTATTGATGATGCGTACTGATGGTGTGATAGAAGAGTTGCAAGAAGAAAAGCTATTCAAGTTGCAAAGAGAAAGAAATCTGATTGCGATCTGATAGCGATTGCAGTGGTTGGGATTGATACAAATCTGATTGTTCATTGTAACTATTGACATCATGATCTTTCACTGTACAATCTCAAAATGTAGTAACATCTTAAGTGTATCCCAAGGATAGGTAGCATTGCTTATCTGTAAGTTCCCTAATTAAATGTATAACATGGGGAATGGTGGTGCCATGAGTCAAAATTATGATAAATATGCTGATATCTCATGGATTGAGTGACATTGAATTCCAATTCGTCTTTAGATAACCAAAACCAAAATGCTGATTCTAGTACATAATTGGTGTAAGACTCTGGTGGATCACTATTTTGGAATCCCTTGTTTTCTGGTTGTTGTTGTTGTCAAACTTTTCATATATGCATGTTGTTGGCATTGTCTCATGTTGGTAATGACTGCACACCCATCAGCCACCGTAGGATTATGCCATTTGCTATATTCAATAAAAAAAAATGTTATTTCTATTGAAAAGTTTGTGAAACATGAACATTAACCCGCAGTCTAGAGTAGCCAGAGGCCAATTTCTTGTCTATACTCAAAACTGAACTTTTATTTTTTTACAGTTCTACAGCTGGTTCAAGTAAAACCTCACTTTCTTATGCTTTTTTTCTTGTTTTTCCTTGATTTTCTTGTTTGTTAAACAGAAGATTGCTTGAACATCATCTGGTAGTATATACAGCAAGCTTACTTGTTTTGATGTAGTTTGTAGTTTGTAGCATTTTTTTAGAGATTTTGTGCTAAGATTTTACCAATGAAAAGACCGTAACTACTGTTGGTAGCATACTATATGCTGAAAATGTGCTTAGTTATGTTGGTACTTATATATAATTGATTTCCATTTTTCTTTATTTTATTTTTTTAATTTTTAAATTTTATTTTCATTGCAGTTTGGTGAGGTGGATATTGATGGTTCATTGGTTGCTAGTCACTCCTCTTCTAATGATAACATAGTCATGGTTAATAATGGTTGCCTGTGCTGCACCGTGCGCGGAGATCTGGTCAAATTGCTTCTGGAATTGGTTAAGAAGAAGCGTGACAAATTTGATCATATTGTTATAGAAACAACAGGTATATCCATTTCCTCTATATATTCAAGTACAATAAATTGTTGTACATGTAAGTAAATAGGCACATATTTTATTTATATAGTTCACGTATAATTATATGCACACACACAAATATTTTATCATATAGAAAAGGTTTAAATGCTTTATGTCCAGAAGCTCTTTTTTTTTTTTTTTTGTTATGTATTTTGTGTTATATTATTTCTCTCTCCGTGTGTATACACAAACACTGTTTTATTTTATTCAAATTAGTAATGGTTTGGGCTTTAGTATATTGGGCTTATGGATTGGGTCTTGAAGTGTTGGAGAAGGCCTAGGTGGAGATATTAGACTTAAGGTCCATGGTATTGGATGTGTGTGTATATATATATATATATATATATATATATATATATAATAGATTATATTTTTAATTGTAAGTTACATGTTATATGTGTATATATATTATTATTTTTATTGCCGTTATTATTATTATTATTATTAATCTCTTATTAGACTTAGAGTGGGATTTAGTACATATATATATTTATGTATTGGTCTGGGGGGTTTTCTTTTACGTAAAAGAAAACAGAGGCAGAGAGAGACAGAGAGAGACGACCAGAGAGGGAGAGAAGGAGGAGAAGGTGAAAGGGCAGGAGGGAACGAAGGCAATATATAGTTGCTGGAGTTGGAGAAGAAGACCAGAGATTTTACAGAGAGTTTGTAGGTGGATTAGTTGTGTCTTAATTAGTTTAGGTGTTTCTATTTGTGTGGTTTTTCTTTTTCTTTTTCCTTTATGTTAGTTATGCTTCTATGTGGGAAAGTTTTTTAAAAGACACATTGTATGGCTTTGGGTAATTATAATTTCTTAGTGATTTTCCTCTCTTTGGATGATTGAGTTATTTGAGGTGGGATTTCCACAATTAGCTTTTCTGAAACCCTAAATTTATTCTATAAACTAACCATTCGACCTAATGATCTCACCGTGTTTTTGGGTTTTAGTAATGTTGTGGCAGTTAATTAAGTCAAAACTTATGTACTATTCTTAGCTTAGAATGACATATAACTTGGGACGTGTAACATTGTGTGTGTGTGTTTTTTTTTTTTTTTTTTTTTTTTTTTTCGATAAGTAGGATGTGTAACATTGTTTTAAGCCATGAGTCCCAATAAACTACTCTACATCACCTCAAACCAACTCCGGCTTGGTATAGGAAATTTCTACCACATGCGGAGCAGCAATAGCAAGACTAATTGCATAATAGAATTCTTGAAGAAAAGATGGTGCAAAACCAAAACTTGATCAAGAGAAGAGACTCTTGACCTAGGAAGCATGAATACGGATACAGGACATGGATACAATAAGATACGGGTGCAGGAGGATATGCTAATATAAAAATAATAAATTATATTTTTTTATATACAGAAAAATTGATTTTATGTTATATATATTGTATTTATATATATTTTTTTATAAAATATTATGATTAACAAACAAAATAAGAGTTAAAGAGTCATATTGCATAATTTACATTGATAAATTTTGTACTAAATAACGATATGTATTTCAATACTTCTTTTTTACATAAATTTTAAACTTTCCTTAACAATTATACTATGATAGTATTGTTAAAAAAACTACATTTTAATGTTCAAAAACTTATTAAAAATGTGTTTTGAAGTGTTGACAAGCTTCGGTTACGTGATCAATGTATCTAAGAAGTATCATATACGTGTTAGAAATAAAAAAAAATATATTTTTAAATTATGGATACGTTTAGGAAGTATTGGACACGTATCTATGAGTACGAGTATCGGTATCCAATACAGACACAATACGGTTACGTCACTCTTGAAGAAGTATTCGTGCTTCCTAGCTCTCGACAAATATTTGCTGTGTGGATGAGGAATGACCTAGAAATTCAGAACATTTAGTGACATGACGAAGTATGCCATGAGTTGATGGCTTCTATAGACCTCAAATGACTTTCCCTGATTGACTTGCATCCACGAAAAATCCTTTTGATTGTTATTCTACTCATGTGAATAAGTAGGTTTGCTTTGTGAAGGCACCACACAATAAAGGGGTTGAAAGTTCATGGTGATATAAGACTGAAGGTCAACTTCACACGATTTACCAATTATAAAGTAATGCCCCAAGTATTTTCACTATTGAAAATAGTGAACTAATAATGGGGGAACTACTCAACTAGTCTCCACTGTGGTGACGCATGGGTGGCCTAGTGGATAAGTAGTTTCCCGGGGCAAAGTATAAACTCGGAAGCCTTGAGTTCTACTCACAGGGCGCAAAAACTACTGGATTAGAAAAAGTCTCTATTGTGGCTACTTGAGATTTGTATGAAGGAAAAACCTCGTTGAGTGATGGCGCAAAACAGGTTTGTGTCATCAGTCCATTCTGTGCTGGGCTGGGCCTCAAGGGACCTGGCCCAGTCAACAGGCCTGGGTCTCACAGGCTTTTTTACACTCCTATTAGTGCCCTGCTCAAAGGAAGAAAAGCTTTTTTTATTTGTTTTCTCCTTTATTTGGCTTTCTGTGAAGCATCAGTTCTTCTTGGCTCGCCATAGAGGGGTGTGATGTTATTTCTTCTCATAGAATATACATCCTATTAAGATTAGTTAGTTGCATCCAGCAAAGACCTGAAAGTCAGCTGTTTACTTCACCAGCTGCAGGTATTGAGGGTATATATATGATATATTGGTGGATTTTTTTAATGTTATTTTACAGGGCTTGCAAAGCCAGGTCCGGTGATTGAAACGTTTTGTACTGATGAGATGGTTTCACGATATTTGAAACTTGATGGAGTTGTTACTTTGGTTGATTCTAAGCATGCCATGCGACATTTGAATGAAGTGAAACCTAGATTTGTTGTTAATGAGGCAGTGGAACAAGTTGCCTATGCAGACCGTATTATTTTAAACAAGGTATATTAGATTTCTTCTCAATAATCAGGAACTTTACCTAACTTATTATGACTTTTGAAATTCAATGAATTCTTTTTCTACTATCTTTATGCTCTTCATTATATAATGTTGGCAGATAGATTTGGTGACTGAGGCTGACTTGGAGGTGTTGACAAAGCGAATTCAGGTAGGCTTTTACCTTGTACATAGATAGATTTTCCTTGTATCTTTGAAATGTAGCTACTCATTGAATTGGGAGGGTTAGAGGTGTTTTTAGGCTGTGCCAAGAGAAACTGAACTTGTATGAATGTGGAAAGTGGTAAAACGGTTGTTGGCATTTTTATATATAATTGATTCCGGCACAATGATCGATGCTTTGAAGTGTAGGCACTTCTTTGGTTAGTTCAGCTGTGGGTTTTGCTGTTGCCTTTTGATAAGCCAAATTTAACTTTAGTCTGGTTTTGATATATATTTCCATATTAATGTTATGGTCAACTGGTCTACTAAAAATTGCATTATGTGAAATTTGTTATTTTAAAATTTCCAAGCACAATAAATAATTACAATTTTTTACACAATAGATCTCTGTTTGTGCAGTCAATGGGGTTTAAATTAAAATGAATAGAAATGAAAATTTAAGAATGCATTTGAAGCTTACATGTCTATAACAAACAAGGGTTAATACTGAAAGTGCTCAATAGGTTCAATTATTCAACTTATTCATGTAATAGGTGTAGCCTTGTGTTAGTATGTTGCTTAAGTTGTAATATATGCTCTACTGTTATAGCTTTATGTTAAAATGTACAGTCATTTCACTTTCATCTTTCCTTGGCATGCTATTGATTATGCAGCTTTTGGATTTTTGGTGCACTTTTGTCAGCATATCAATGGGATGGCACAGTTAAAGCTAGCTAAATATGGCATAGTCGACATGGACTTTGTTTTGGGAGTGGGCGGTTATGAACTAGATAGGTGATTCAGAGTTTTTTTTGCTTTTTTCATAGTGTTTTTTTTCCCTCTTTGTGGTTAGGAAATACAAATGGTGCTGCATATCCATATTATAAGTGGTATCGGGTAATATCATATTCCATGACGTCTGAACATGCCATTCGTTTTGCAGAATTGATTCAGAGGTTCAGTCGGATAGTTCTCATTGTGAATCCCATCAACATGAAAGTGCTTGTGGTACTGTTATCTGATTCAATATTTTTTCTCTTTCTTTTTCTCCCCTTGTTTTACTCCCTTATTCTGGATCATGGAAAAGAAAAATGGGAGGAAGACTGGCATTGAAAATCTTCTTCCTGATTGCAAATCCATTTTTGATATTTGTGCAAGTTTTTTTACTTGCTAAATTTCTCTTCTAATTTTATATTGTGCTGTCTTGTTATTTTCTGTTCGGTTTAGTTAAACAAATTTTATTTTAATCACATATACGACTATTTTGACCATTACAATATTCTAGCGAGGCTGGAGGAGCACTAGTACTTTCATTTCTTTATTCTTATGATATTTTTGTCTGATAAGTATGTTCTTTATACATTGTAGTCTCTCATCATCGTTGTAGTCTTTCATCATCATTGCTATTTTGTTTCTAGTTAATAATCTTTTAAATGGATGATTGTATTACTGTGTGCGTATGTTCCTAATACATTATATGTTATGTGTAATGGCTTATGTAATATTCATGGGTCTTGGAGCTTTCCCATTTGGCCCTTGATTGTGAAGTTGCAAGAAAGGGCAATGTGTTACCTTTTAGCACATGTTATGCTGAAAATACATTATTTTTGTTCTTTATATAGCGGGGTTATATAGTTGATACTTTACTGATAAAAAACAAAAATTAAAAAAACAAAAGAAAAGAAAGAAAGAAGAAAGAAATTAAGGTAATATAATTAAAGCCAGAGCTATATCCATGATAGAGTTCTTATACATTCTTGGTTTCAATATGTAATTCTTAATACAACGGTTATTGAAGAGCATTTAATTCTGTCCCATAAACTGCTTAATCATATTTTCGGACCTCTCTTTCTTCTTCTTTTTTGAGTTCAGAATTTCGAAAAGAGAGTGTTTACAATGAAAGTGACCTCCAGAATTGCTCATTTCTCCTCAGTAATATTTGTGTCATTTAAATGCTTTATATTAGACTATTGTTCCAGATATTATGATAATTTAGTATTTTTTTCCCGAAGTGGCATTTGATATCATTTCTCATGTTTGTTGTTAACTTTTCTTTAACATTTTTTTCTAAATAGAACACCACAAAGGACATCATCACAACCATGTACATGATTCTGCTGTCTCCAGCGTTAGTATCGTCTCCGAGGGAACCCTTGACCTTGATGAGGTAACTAATACTTAAATTCTGGCTTGATGTTAGTTTTTATTTTCTTTATCAACTTGTGGAACTTTATAATGTTTGAAGCCTCGAAGGTGGAACTCTTGTCTCACATCCTGTTATGATGCTGTCGTCTGCATATAAATTGTTCTCTTGTTACTGGAGAATGGTTGGACCATTCCCATAAATTTTGTTTCCTTAATAATTTCTACTTTGGCATTTTTGTGGATTTGCATTTTCCATACTTAGATCCCACTGCCCGCAGCTTATTTTCTGGTTTTGCATGATGCTTCAGCTTGATGATTGGCTTGAAAGACTGGTTGAAGAAAAGGGGGAGGACCTGTACAGGATGAAAGGAGTTTTGTCTGTGAAGGATTCCCACGAGCGTTATGTTTTTCAGGTTCTCACCTAAGTGCTCACCACCTTGCTTTTTGTGACTTAAGTGAATTGAGTACAAGTTAATCTCATCTGTACTCTTTGTCTCTAATTCTTGTTCATCTGTTTTTCTAGGGGGTGCATTCCACTTTGGATGGCTGCCCAGGCAAGACATGGGGACCCGATGAGAAGAAGATAAACAAGCTCGTCTTCATAGGAAGGAACTTGGATGAAACTTCCCTAAGAAAAGGTTTCAAAGGTTGCCTAGCGTGAGCAGAATTTGGTCCGTGAACGTGTAACAATAGATCAATAGCTCAAACGAAGCGCCTGACCGTGGCTTTCAGTCATCAACCATTGCATATATATATATATATCCATGGGTTTGGCTCGGCAATGAATTGGATCCACATACTGTAAAGTTCAGTTTCTGCAAAGACGGACATGAACCCACCCGAGACTAAATTCTTCAATGTACCTTTTTGAAAATTCGTTTCAGTACTTCAGGTTTATAGTTCATAAATTTATATTGTTGTCGTCTTTTCTGTCACTTCTTGTTTCAGTTATTCTGTTTAGATTTTATTATACAGTAATTATCAATAATTTATTGAAATATTTATTTTGGAATCAGGATTTATGTTTAATTTCATGATAGTAATTATTTGGTTCCGAGATTGAAAAATACTTGCCTCTGCACTGGTGAGGAGAAACCCCTTTCGCACCACTGATGTGGGCAATGATAGAATGACATGTTCATTTTGAATTATATGTATATATGGCTTGCTGTAATTCTATTTAGCTATTATCCTATTTTATTCATCTCGTCTTTCTTTCCATGGTGCTTATTTTTAAATTTTTATTTTTTTATTTTTAATGCTTGGGACACCCTCTAAACCTTTATTTGGTTTCTTTTAATTAAAATCTCAGCTTACCTACCAAAAAACTAAAAAACAATAGATTATCAAACAACACACAAAGCAGGTGTAGACACATTCTCTTGACTTGTGAATATTGTGAAGATTTTTGGATAATTTTGCTTTGTGTGTTGTTTGATAATCTATTGTTTTTTAGTTTTTTGGTAGGTAAGCTGAGATTTTAATTAAAAGAAACCAAATAAAGGTTTAGCCCACAAAGCAGGTGTAGACACATTCTCTTGACTGTGAAGATTTTTGGATAATTTTATAAAAAAGAATGCTATCTCAAGCAAAGAATTTGCTTCCATCTTGTCTAATTAAATAACACCATCATCCAAATACTTGAAATGGAATCCAAATATGGTGCACCCAAACAACATCTTTTCCGGTGTCGAGCGAAGAGAAGAAATAGTCTTCCAAGTATTCCGATTACCTATTTGTTCATCTCCTGACAATAACACAATATCAAAATAAATAGCAGTTCTTCAATGAAGGATGTTGGTAATAAACCACTTTTCACATCTCTATTGTTGCTAGATAAGAAAAAAATAAAAAAAATAATAGTAAAAATAAAGTTTATGTTAAGAATAACAAATCAATACATTTCAAAGTGCCTCACTCATGTTGACCGGACAGAGTATTTAAAGGTTTTGCAAATTTGGAAAAATTGAATAAATATTTTTTTGATGATTTAGATTAAATTTTGATCGAGACATTTAAGAACTAGGCTGAACAAATGAAGGATTGAGAAACCGTCTTGTTAACAAACAAGTGAACGTTTAAGTTGGGAAATTTTGAATTCGGATTCGATTTTTGTATCAAGACAAACATGTTTATAAGCTTCACAACTTTATTTCTGTTTTATAAAAGGAATATATTAGTGCAAAACAAGAAGAAAAAAAATAAAAATAAAAACAGTCTATAATACAAAACAAGTATATAAACCATTAGGGAATTGTTGTTGTGCACTATTTTCAGATAGCAAAAAAGAAAAAAGAAGATCAAATCTACATACCTCAAAAAATGCACGAATTATTAGAGAAATGTCACAAAGTCACGAACTCTTAATTAATCTTTTTGATGATATTCTGTCTTCTAGAAGCAGATGTTCAAGTACCAAAAGAAATAAGAAGAGCAAGTGGTGATGGATCGATCTGTTATAGTTTATTAGCCACATGTATAAATTATATAAGCATTCCTTGTTTGATATTGTTGACAGATACACGTAACAAAAATATCCGGACAAAAGGAGATGGCAGTATAAAGATGCGTGATAACACATAATCTTCATGTGTGTATCCATATGTGTGCAATCAAAATGGGACTTAAATTGACCTGAAAGAGTACTAAAATGTTTTTTTTGCCAAATTGGGTAGATGAATCTGGAGTACACTTTTAATTGATTAGTTGAACATTGAACCAAAGTAGTTAAAATTAAGTTGATTAAATAAAAATTAAAAAATTGGTTTTTCAGAAATTTGCTGCACCTATTACAGCAAGTTGGAGAATTTAAATAATAAATTCAAATTGAATATCTAAATTCACTATTTATTATTTAGAAGAAAAGTATTCATAACTCGAAGTATAATTGAAGCCTTACATAACATTCTTGCTCAAAGAAACACCATAATGGTACACATCCAATTTTCAATATATATATGGCCAACTTTAATTATAGAAAAAATAACAAAGAGAAGACTATAAAAATTACATACATCGAAAAACTAAGTTCCTACAAACATATTCTATTACAACTATCATCAGTACATATTGGTGGTGTTGTATTTGAGAAACATTGGAACAAAAGAACACAAACATATAGATATATTTAATATTAAGAATTACCTTTTGTAATGCACTTCTGGTATGTGTAGCTACAGCACCACCAAAACAGTTTGTAATGGTGTCATAGTCAATTGTCAATTATACAAACTGGTATGTGTTCTATCTTATACCAATCCTCCCCGCTCTGCTTCTCGCATCTCCTTTTGAGTTGTTCACCACATCGCCCAATTTGCAAAGTTGTGAGATTGGTTAGGCTTTCAATGCTGTGTGGAAGTGACTCAACCTTAGGGCAATACCAAACGGACAACCATTGAAGAGATGCAATATTTCCCAACCAGTCAGTCAATGATGTTAGCTCTGGACAATCCCAAATCCTTAGAGATTGCAGTGCAGGGACATGCTGTAAGGCCTCCGGCAAAACCACCAACTTGGGATTCTCTAAAATTCTCAGATTTATAAGGGAATGGAGGAGTTTAATACCCTCCAGCAGAGAAACGAGCTCCGGGCATCCACCAAGAGTCAAACTCTCGACGGCTTTGAGTTGTTGCAGTCCCTCAGACAAGGACTTCAACTTTCCACAGTTATAAAGATCTAAAGAACTGAGAGAGTTGAGGCCTTGTAATCCTTGTTCTGGCAATGACTCAATCTCATTACAACTCCAGATCTTCAGTGACTTTAGAGCACTGAGGTTTGAGATCGAACACCATAAGAAGACGTCACTGCATCCCCGTACTGCTAAATCTTTGAGTGACGGAAGGCATGGCATTGATGTCAACTTAGGACGATAAAGAATAAACAATCGGGAAAGACGAGGGAATACATCTTTTTCTTCCTCTCTAGACAACTTTTCCAAACATGGCAACTCATCAATCTCAAGCGACTCCAGAGAAGGGAATTTCTTCCTTACTACTGTAGCTGCACTGTGGCCAGAATCATCGTCGTCCTCTATGTACTTACATTTCATTCCACCTATATCAAGACGTTTCAACCAAAGCAGTCGACTATATGGTGGAACACTTTGACAATTTTCGCGACCTTCAAGTGAAACTTTAACTAAATTTTGAAGCAGTACTAGATCACTCATCCAGAGTGGGAAAGAGGTACCTGGATACTTTTGTATGATCAACTCTTTAAGATTTGGGTGAGGTTTAAGAGCATCTAGTACCGGTTCAGCATTTTTTGGTAATGACGACTCTGATTCACTTCCAATATTCCAACCCAAACCCAAGCTGTAGAGGTTTTTTTTCTGGGCTAAGTTTGCTTCTCTTGCATCCACCCAATTCTCCACCCTCTTCAGATGCTTAATGTATAATTTTCCTCCCAGGTTTAACACTTCCAGCTCACCCAAATGAATATCTCTCCTCCCGTCCACAATGAAAAGACTTAATCACTTGAGGTTGGTTCACTGCCCAATTTTTGGAGCCATTTCTGTTAGACCACTACAGCCTTCCATAAATAGATGTCGGAGATTGATCATGCGTCTCATGTGGTTGGGTAAGCTCCGAAGACTCCAACAATAATTAAGGTCTAAGGTCTGCAAATTCAATAGGTTGCATAATGACTCGGGAAGTGTCGTCAACTGATAATTGCGAGAAAGATTCAAGTACCTTAAATGAATTAAATTGTCAATTGAAGATGGAAGCTCAAATATAGAAGTGTGACTTGCATCTAGAGCTCGTAAGGTACTAAATTTCATAAAGTCATGAGAAAATGCTTCCATAAATAATGTTCTCAACGATTCAACATTTTCTAATGCTGTAGAGTCACCAGCTAAATTGACATGTCGAACACTCCTGTTTGGTTTATTATTTGACCTTGCAACCTCCATCACGTGACATTCAATTTCCATAATAGATTGAGCTAGATCATGAAAAAGATCATGCATCTTGAAACTTTGAACATTGCCAAAATCATCATTTTCAACCTCTTAGAAGAAAGATCTACAATGTAACTCTTTCCATATCACATTACCAATATCTTCTAACTCCATCGTTCCAGTAGATGAAATGAAACCGTTAGCCATCCACAGATGAATTAAACAATCCTTCTCAATTATAGAATCCTTAAGAAATATGGCACAATAAGCAAAACATTGCCTACAGTCTAAGGGAAGATTATAATAACTTGATCTTAATGCGGGCATTATGGAGCAGTTTTCATCTTGTGGTAAATTCCAAATTTCACTTTCTTTAACACCATGCCACTCATATTCTTCACTTTTGAAGCACATTAAGCTTCCAAGAGCTTTTGCAGCTAAAGGCACACCCCCACACTTCATGATATCCTTCCCGATCGCCACAAGATTCGGACTTTCTTTACTCGTCTTTAAATGGCCGTTGTTTGAATAATGACCAACAATCATTTTCTGACAAAGTCGACAAACGATATACAGGCTGTGTTCTCATAATTGATGCCACATTTTCAAGATGGGTAGTGATAATAATTGCAGCACCCTTTGATCCATAGGCCAGTATGGATTTTAACTTGTCCCACTTTTCTTGACTATCGTTCCACACATCATCCAAAATAAGCAAATATCTTTTCCCATTCAACTTATCTTGAAGTTGTGTTTGAAGATGTTCTAAGGTTGAGCCTCCACTAGATGCCCCTATAATTGCTTCTATGACCCTGTTCACTTCAAAATTGTCTGAAACACAAACCCAAATTCTTGGCTCAAAATACTCCTTTACCCTCTTATCATTGAACACTAGCTGCGCAAGTGTTGTCTTTCCGAGCCCTCCAATACAAAGTGTAGGAAGGACAGAAACATCTTGGCAGTCACTTGCATCCTTCACCACCAGCTGTTCGACAATACTTTTTATGTCCTTTTCTCTTCCGAACACCTGATCTTCAGTTAAAAAAGAGCTGGTTTCGCGCCATTGAGGAATTCCACCTTTATTCACCACGACCACCTCTTGCAAATGAAATTTCATTCGCTCCTCAGCAATTTTATCCAAGTTCCCATTAATCTCTTTCATTTTTTTTCGATCTTATGACAAAAGAGAAAATTGTCTAGAATAGAATAACAAGATAAGAAACAATCGCATACAAGATGATATTTGCTGGAAGAAGCAGAGAGTGTGCTGAGAGTGTGCTGGAAAGCTTTTCCATGTCCTCATCAAAACCCCAGATCAATTCTATCTCCTCCTGTATGGAAGAGTTCAAATGGTCCAACACAATTTCAAGAACTGAATCTGCCATTTTTAGTTACTGATCAAAGAGTACTTGTGTATGCTTTCAAAACAAGATGATATTTGCTGGAAGAAGCAGTGATATATTGTCTAACATATAATGTATGTAAAATAAAAGTACGGTAGAAAATGACTCTTATCACCTGTAGAGGACCTATGAATATCCCCACCAATGAAAATTTTGGTATTTCCAAACAAAACTAAGAAAAAATAATAAATAAAAACTTAAAAAATTCATATTGCATTTTCAATAGACCACCTGACCGGGCCCTATGGTTATGTCCACCACTCATTTGTCAAAGAAGATGGCCTTTGGTAAAAGTCGGTGCAGTTTGATACAATTCAAAGTTTAATCATTTATCTAATTTTGTTTGATAATGTAAATTGAATATTATTTAAAATAATAAGCGCCACTTAAATAAAATAAAATTATAAGTGACATGACATGATATCAAAAATGCTGAATACTAAAAATTAAAAAAGATATCAAAAAATACATTACCACTTAAAATTTTCAATGGAGCACGAAGTAGTCTCTCCATTAGATGTCACAATTAACTATTAACACACTCAACAAGTCTCTCCAGTAAATGTGCTTTATTTTTGCGGTTTATATCGTTACATGATACTATATAATAAGCTGGTGATATTATAACATCACTACAACGGGCACAATTAAATTTTTCTTGAGACTTTGACCTCCCAACTCATCTCGATTTTTGAGATCTAAATGATCCAAAAAATGATGGAGAGTCCAAGTGATTTATTTGTGTTCCAGAGTAATATTATGATGTGAATGTGTTTAGTTGAATGATTACTTGAGTTGAGACTCAACAAATCTATTTATAATTAATTTCAATTTGCACTTAAGCTGCGTTAGGTTACATGGAATTGAAATTTTGAAATTATATTAAAAAAAAATTAAGTTCAATTTTGTAAGTTACTTTTCTCCGATTCTACTAATTTTAGTTTCAAAACTCTAATTTTATGGAGCCGAACATAGCCATAATTTTTTTAAATATAATTAAAAAAAAAACAAAAATTTAGTAGCACTGGAATTGGATACAACTCCTCATGGTAGAATAAATGCCTAGGGCCCATTCCCATGTGGCTAGAATTGGATTGCCAGAATTTAGTCAATAGTCTTTCTCTTCTCACACTCACTTATATATTTCAATATAGTGACCTCACAATTATTTTTTATTACTTATTAGCCTGAATAACATTGGATATGTACAAGTTAAGAAAATCATGATATAAAATTAAAAAATGTCTACAGTTTACTTTTAGTTTGATTGTTTAAGTCAAATTGTCCATCAATATTCAATAATCACCTAGAATGAACTCACATCTCTTCCTTTATTGATCATATAGATTGAAGAGTGCCGATCTCTTGTCTAAGGTAAAAATTGTAAATCACATCTATAAATAAATAAATAAACAAAAGACATTCAATGATTCATCTACATTCAATGACGTATTAAGAAAAATCTCTTAGATCTTGTTTTATACTGAGAAAATATGGTAGGACTTCATTTCAAGTGCGGACTACCTTTCCACTTGTCTAATTATTGTTCATTCATTTTTTAAGGGAGTGCATTCCACTTGTTTAATAAATGTTGACTAGTGTGAACTGAATTTGGTTCATGAACATGTAAACAATTGATGAATAATACAAATGAAGCACCTAACTGTTCTATAGGAGCTAGCAATTCCCTTCCAAATGGGAATTCATCCTCTTTTTAAGATAGAAAGTTGAATGTTCAAATAAATTTGATGCTCCCAGACACAACATCATGAGAAACAAAGAAAAGAAATATCTAATAAGCCACCAAGTTGGACCGTGTAAGCCCTTCATCATTGCTCAAGTGAGAAAAAAATTTTAAGTATTAAATTTAATTTTATACCAGAGACATCCGGCTAGTAATTTACCAAAATATATCATTCCTTTCCTCTGTCTCACTAAATAGTGAATGGTGAACCAAAGTCTTCAAATGCTATAGCTATAGCATGGAGAAACAACACAATGCAGGCCTAGATGTTGCGAAATTAAACAAAAAATACAATAAATAGATCAAACACACACAATAAGAACACATAGATTTTATTTCGTTCATTCAAAATTCAAGGTTACGTCCAAGGGTTGTAGGGATTTTCACTATGATAATAAAAAAACAGCAGCAGATACAGAGGGTTTAGAATGAAAAAATATCATTGCACTAGGGGCAACATAACAAGTTTGGAAATTACCAAAAACCTTCCAAAAAATTCGGGTCAACAGAATTTGCATTTTCCAGTTTTAGATCCCACTGCCTGCAACTTATTTTCTGCTTTTGCATGATGCTTCAGCTTGATGATTGGCTTGAAAGACTAGTTGAAGAAAAGGGGGAAGACCCGTACATGATGAAAGACTTACCTACCAAAAAGAAATACAAAAATCACCCATTCTCTCGTAATTTTCTTATGTTTGATTTCAATTCCGAAAAGATGCAAAAATCATTGTCCAAGAGAGACTGTGCCTTTCCTTATGCCACTAAACTCTTTCTTTTTCCTCCAATTTCACGGACTAAACATTGTACTTTCCCTTCATCTCATCTCTCTTTCTTTTATTTTCTTTTCTTTTCCTTTCATTTTCATTAATTCAAACGAAAGTTTAATAGTTTATTAAACTTTCAACTCATTCCAAACGAACCACTACAAAATTAAGGTCATGCTAAATATAGCTAATATAAGATTACATAACAATAACTAACACGCGAGTGACTCAGTGGTGCCATGCCCTAACTTTTCTAAATAAGGCCAGGGAAAGCATATGCGTAAGCACAATTAAGAAAAAAAAATTGCATAACAATAATATTGATGAAATGTTGTCACACAAGAGTTGTATAAAATTGTTATTTAGACTCCTCTTGACTTAATTTTTGATCTCCTTCCACTCACCTTAGACTATTGAGCTTGGAATACAAAAGTCTCACCTCACTCTCCTCTACATAACCTTAGAAGGAAAACTTGAAATTCCTTTGCTTCCCTTGGATTCAAGAGGAACAATCCTCTTGTGAGGTAGGAGGTGTTCTAAATTATGTCTTCAATATTTTATATGTTTTAATATCTTGATACAAATGGAATACATGTCTCTAATCTAAATCTTTAAATTGTTAATCAATGATAACTTACATGAAATTGAGCTAAGACATGATTTTTGGAAAGGCCATGACTTGATTCATAACTTATGTTAATTTGAAATCATTTTGGGTTGTTTTGAAATCTAGAGGAATTAGTTAATTAATTTAATCAATTTTCATTATTATGTTCTTATAAATCAAGTTTTAAAGTGATTTATGTAATGACCATGATAGGTACTACAACATATATTAAATTGAGCATATTTGGGTGAGAAATGAAATCTAGAGAAATTAGTTGTTTTATTTAATTAATTTCTATCCTTGTTGTAGTAATGATTTGAGTATGTATTGTATGCCAATTACATGTTTAAATCATAATTCTAGACTTGTACAATAATTGTGGGATTGTATTCTCAAAATTGATGGACATTGTTATATAGAGTAACAAGTTGCATAATGATTATTCAACATTCTTCATGCCATTATAGTCGTGAACTTAGGGCATGTATTGTGTTTCCAAAATTGGTTTGTGCATGGTTGATGGTTTTACATTGTATATATATGTTATGTTAATACATATATGTTGTTGCACAAGTTGTTGATTTTGGAAACTTGGGATGTCATTGTTATGACTAAGGCTAGGGCATGGTTCTAGTACGGGGGATTGTCCCTCTACAAGTCTAGTGCGCACATAGGGAGGTTACCCATGGGCTATTAACCCTAAAGTAACTATGGTGTCGGTTTGATCCGGCATAATGTCCAAGTATCCACTTTGGTTTGATTTCGCACTTTAATTTTCAAGATGATAACTTTGTGAAATTGCATCTCATTATGCTACGTTGAAAGTTCTAATGTACTTTAATAGCATAGATTGCATTATATTGAATTGTAAACCTTGTGATAAATTAAGCATATGCATGTTTATTCCCTACAAATAAACTTGTTTATACACTCCGAAGTTACTGGGTGTTTTTCAGGTAAAGAAGCAATATTGTGGGATGCACAACAATCTTAGACTTGATAGACTACTTGGAGTATTTTTGCTATGTTAGAATATGCACTTGTTAGCATATCTAGTTTCATTTTGCTTATTATGACAAAATATGTATTTATTATTCAAACCATGTAATGTGCACTTAAGTGCACCTTTTGATACTCTATGGATGTATTTGTAATGAGGCCAAGGGCCAAACATGTTTACTTTAGCACTTGTATACACTTGGTGCGTTAGTTTGCCTTAAAAGCATGTTTTAACTAACTTTAGAGGTTTAGCATATGAGAATCTTGTAAATGAAGAGTATGAGGCCATGAGCCATTATTTTTACATTCATTCATTCATTCATATTAAGGTTGTTGGCATACTCATACACTAGAATCTCCATGAAAACCAGTTTTAAACCTTCATTTTTGAACAAATTTAAGAGAGGATTTGAAGTATGGGTTGAATCTTATCATATTGGACACATAGCAGGCTTTTCAACAGCTTTTCGAGGTATTTCGGTCGATCGATGGCCAATTTCGGTCGACTGATGCATCAAGTCAGTCTACCGAACCATCCAGACCTCAAAAACCAGATTTTAGAAATGTTTATGCCAATTTCGGTCAACCGAAACTTTATTTCGGTCAAACGAAACTCCCCTTATATACACAACAGCTCTGTTATGC